ACTCGCTTGAGCCCAGGAGTTGGAGGTTGCTGTGAGCTGTGATGCCACAGCACTCTACCCAGGGTGACAGCTTGAGGCTCTGTCTCAAAAAAAATAAAAAAAAAATCATCTGAATTATTAAAATGTTTTAATAAATAGTAACTATAAATCAAAGCTCATTAAAGAATCAAAAAGAGATAACTATATGTTATCACAAGTAACATAGGGATTACCACAGGGAATGAACATCTCAACTCTGGATGATTATTACATAGTAAACTCTACCCACACATCGAAACCAAGAATTATTAACAAATGAAAGAAAATTACCTCAACATTCTAATCCATTTTTATAATACACAATGTTTCAAGAATAGTAACTTTACAAATTCTCTTTTATTCACATACTGATTCTTTATGAATAAGACTCACTGAGGAAATCCAGCTATATAATAGGTAACAAAACAAAAGCAAATATGTCTGACAGCTATCAGAGGTAAGTGAATAAATGAGTTTTAAAGTTTACTCCTCACATGGACATTTCTATGACCACTTTTCCAACCTTTAAGTAAACTGGCAAATCTTTGTCAAATTGATCCAGAAGACAATGCAGTGACACCCTCCTCCCAGAAGATTGTCGAAATCTAAAACAAAACTGGGTATCTCCAAGACAACCTAATGAAAACAAAAATGAAAGAAATTAAGGACAGCTTAAGACATTTACTTATCCAGTTTCATCAATTTTAGAGCTGAAGAATCCTATCAAACATTTTAACCCATTTTGTTATATTTCAGAGAAAAAAAATTAGTCCTAACAGTTCAAATCACTCCCTCAAATCCATCTTTATTGGTTTAGAGGCAAAGACAGAAGTAAAATAGGCTTCTTAACTCCTACTCTCTTTACTATTTTTCTTATTCTGCTTCCCAATGTAATTAAAAATTTTTTGACTCATATTTTTTGGACTGCATATAATGTTGACTCACATACATAATAATGAGGAAAAAGAAGCCAAACCCCAAAGAACACATACTGTCCAAATCCATTGATATAATTTTTTTTAAGTAGGTAAAACTAAATTGTAGCATTTAGGAATGCATAATTGGGTAATAAAAGTATTTTAAAAGCAAGAAAATTATTGTTATAAGAAAAGACAGTGGTTACATTTACAGAGAAGAGAGGGATAGTGTTTGAGAGGTGGTATGAAGGCGCTTTTGAGGTGCCAAAAAGTTCTATTTCTTCACCTAGTATATGTTTCATATTTCACAATAAAAAGTTCTTTTAAAAAAATACAATAAGCGGGCTCTGTGCCTGTAGTACAGTGGTTACTGTGCCACCCACATGCACCGAGGCTGGCAGGTTTGAGCCTGGCCTGGGCCAGCTAAACAACAATGACAACTGCAACAAGAAAACAGCCAGGCGTTGTGGCAGCTGCCTGTAGTCCCAGCTACTTGGGAGGCTGAGGCAAAAGAATCGCTTAAGCCCCTTAAGCCCAAGAGTTTGAGGCTGCTGTGAGCTGTGATGCCAAGGGTGACATAGTAAGACTGTCTCAAAAAAAAAAAAAAAGAAAAGAAAAGAAAAGAAAAAGGCTCAGCACCTGTCGCTCAAGTGGCTGAGGCGCCAGCCACAAACACCTAAGGTGGTGGGTTCGAATCCAGCCCGGGCCCGCCAAACAACAATGACGGCTGCAACCAAAAAATAGCCGGGTGTTGTGGTGGGCACCTGTGGTCCCAGCTACTTGGGAGGCTGAGGCAGGAGATTCGCTTGAGCCCAGGAGTTGGAGGTTGCTGTGAGCTGTGACGCCATAGCACTCTGCCCAGGGGGCCAGCTTGAGGCTTTGTCTCAAAGAAAAAAAAGATACAATAAGGGGGGTGGCGCCTGTGGCTCAAAGGAGTAGGCAACCAGCCCCATATACTGGAAGTTGTGGGTTCAAAATCAGCCCTAGCCAAAAACTGAAAAAAAAAAAAAAAAAAAAGATACAATAAGGTCTGGTGCAGTAGCTCATGCCTGTGATCCTAGCTCTCTGGGAGGCTGAGGCAGGTGGAATGCCTGAGCTCACAGGTTTGAAACCAATCTGATCAAGAGCAAGACCCCTCTCCCCCGTCTCTAAAAATAGCCAGGCATTTTGTAGATGCTTATAGTCCCAGCTACTTGGGAGGCTGAGGCAGGAGAATTGCTTGAGCTCAAGAGTTAGGAGCTATGATGCCATAGCATTCTACCGAGGGTGACAAAGTGAGACTGTGTCTCAAAAATAAATAAATAAATAAATAAAAAGATACAATACAAAGTCTCAGAAAGAAGACAAGTAACAGACTTACTACTTTAAGCATTTTAATTAAAAATCAATTTATTAAACTTAATCATTTTAACAAACCTCTTATAAACATACAAACTTTACCACATCAGGCAGTAATCACAAAAAATCATTAATATTCTAAAAATTAATCTATAAAAAACATGAAGTAGCATGTCACTCAGATTTTCCCCAACAACAATATTTAAAACTAATAACATTAAGGCCAGGCACAGTGGCTCATGCCTGTAATCGCACTCAAGGAGGCCAAGGCGAGTAGATTGCCTGAGGTCACTGGTTTAAGACTAGCCTAAGTAAGAGTGAGACCTAGTATCTAAAAATAGTCAGGGGTTGTGGTGGGCACCTGTAGTCCAGCTACTTGGGAGGCTAAGGCAAGAGAGTCACTTGAGCCCAAGGGTTTAAGGTTGCTGTGAGCTATGATACCATTGCACTCAACTGAGGATGACAAAGTGAGACTCTGTCTCTTTGTTTTGTTTTGAGACTCTGGCCCCCAGGCCAGCTAAACAACAAAGACAACTGCAACAAAAAAACAGCCAGGCATTGTAGCAGGTGCTGTAGTCCCAGCTACTTGGGAGGCTGAGACAAGAGAATCACTTAAGCCCAAGAGTTTGAGGTGGCAGTGAGCTGTGACACCATGGCATTCTACCGAGGGCGACAGTGAGATGCTATCTCAAAAGAAAAAAAAATCCTGATTTAAAAAATAAAAGTAAAAAATTTTAAAAGTCGGGTGGCCCCTGTGGCTCAAAGGAGTAGGGTGCCGGCCCCATATGCTGGAGGTGGCAGGTTCAAACCCAGCCCCGGCCAAAAACTACAAAAAAAAAAAATTTTTTTTTTAAATCCTGTTAAAATATCAACTCAATATGTCTATCTAAATGCAATTACAGATACTAATATTTCTTTGATGGTAGAGGGAATAAGTGGGGGACTGGAAGGTGAATCAATTTAGTTTACTTGTTAGAGGTGATAGTTTAAAAATAAGGCAAACACCTAAAACATGAGATAATGGAAAATACTCTATGATAAGGGTCTGGTATTATTTTAGTTCAACAAATTTATATACTGATGGTTCAATTTTTCTCTTTAAAAGACATTTAAAACTAAAAGAAAGCAAGCAAGAAACACATCCAGAGAAATACACACTAATATCTCTGAGAAAGATAAATGAATTAAAGACCTAAACATAAACCCCCAAACTATAAAACTCCTAGAGGAAAACATACAGTAAAAGCTACCTAACATTAAATTTGACACTGACTTTTTGGATTCTAACACCAAAAGCACAGGTCAAAGGAAAAACTAGACAAATGAGACATCAAACTTAAAAACTTCTACACAATCTAAAATAGATTTCCATGGCAAAATTTTTTTTTTTATTGTTTCAGGTTAATTTGAGGGTACAAAGAATTAGGTTACAGTGTTTGCATTTGTTGGGTAGAGTCCCTCTTATAATAGTGTCCGGCCCCTAAGACACGTGTCTCTATGTTTAGATTTGGGCTGTTGGAACCTCACCAAATTAAAAAGATATTTGCTTTAAAAAAAAAAAAAAAAAGATTTCCTTACCTTAACTTAAAACATTACAAACATTAGACAAAGTTTCATTTATTTAATCAAAAGAAAAGAAAAAACCTTCTACACAAGAAAGAAAGTAATCAACAGATCAGGCATGATGGCTCACACCCAAATCCTAGCACTCTAGGAGGCCGAGGTGGGTAGATAGATTGAGCTCACAAGTTTGAGATTAGGCTGAGTAAAAAGTGAGACCCCTGTCTCTACTAAAATAGAAAAACTGAGGCAAGAGGACGCTTGAGCCCAAGAATTGGAGAGTTGAAGGATGCTGTGAGCTATGATGCCATAGCGCTCTCTACCCAGGGCAAAAGTTTGAGACTATGACTCAAAAAAGAAAATACTCGGGCAGTGCCTGTTGCTCAGTAGGTAGGGCACTGGCCCCATACTGAGGGTGGCAGGTTCAAACCTGGCCCGGCCAAACTGCAACAAAAACTGGTCGGGCATTGTGGCAGGTGCCTATAGTCGCAGCTACTTGGGAGGCTTGGGCAGGACGATTGCCTAGGCCCAGGAGTTGGAGGTTGCTGTGAGCTGTGATGCAATAAAGTGAGATTCTTGTCTCTTAAAAAAAAAAAAAAAAAGAAAGAAAGAAAAAGAAAATACTCAACAGAGTAAAATGGCAACCTACCAAATAGGCCAAAATATTTGCAAAACTGATAAGGGGTTAACATCTAGAATATATAAAAAACTACAGCTCAATAACAAAAACAAAAAGATATCCAATTAAAAATTAAGAAAAAGACCAGATGCAGTGGCTCACACCTGTAATCCTAGCACTCTGAGACGCTGAGGAAGGCAGATCACTTACGCTTATGGGTTAGAGACCAGCCTGAGCAAGAACAAGACCCTGTCTCTAAAAATAGCTGGGCACTATGGTGGGCACCTGTAGTCCCAGGTACTCAGGAGGCTAAGGCAAGAGACTCTCTTGAGCCCAAGAGTTTAAGGTTGCTGTGAGCTATAATACCAGAGCACTCTACCTAGGGCAACAACTTGAGACTGTCTCAAAGAAAAAAAAATTAATAATAGAATTATCATATGATCTAGCAATCTTACTTCTGGGTATATATTTAAAAGAATTGAAAACAAGGTCTCTAGGAGATATTTACACATCTAGCCCACTGTAGCACCATTTACAATAGCTAAGAGATAGATGAATAGAAAAATGGACCAAAAAAATGGGATATGAGCATATGATGGAATATTTTAAGTGTTAAAAAAGAAGGCAATCCTGTAGTGTGACACAACATGGATAGGCACTGAGGACATTATGCTGAATGAAACAAGCCAGAAACAAATAAACAAAAAGACCAAATACCATCATTTCATTTATTTGAGGTATCTAAAATAGTCAAAATCTTAGAAACAGGAAGCAAAAAGGTGGCTGTCAGGGGCTGAAGGGAGGGAGGAAGTGGAGTTGTTAATGGATAGTTTTTTTTCCCCTACCTCCTAGAAGTATGAGAGAATGGGTTCAGTTTGCAAGATGAAAAAGTTCTAGAGATCTGTTGCAAAACAATGCGCATACAGTTAACACTACTACCATCTGTATACGTGAAAATGGTTAAGATGATAAATTTATTTTTTCATGTGTTTTTCTTTTTTAGCCTCCAGGACTGTGAGATAACACAGCAAATTATATGTCGTGTGATTTTTACCAAAATAACAACAAAAGATGTGACTTAATGTCAATTTCCTTGCCAAGAAAAACAAGGGATACTTACTATTATATAATCTCTAAGTTACTTCCAGCAATAACATTCAAAGATGCTAAATAAAATATCACAAGTGACCTATGACTGTACT